TCTGCAAAAAAAGTAGCGTTTATTCATTCACTCATGGACTGGGCGAGCACTTATTGTCCTTAATTGCTCTTGAGAAGGCAGTGGTGAGTCACCTTCTTGAACTGTGGCATTTGGTGGAGGCATACCCACAATACTATTAGGGAAGGAATTCCACAATTTTGACCCAGTGATAGTGAGGGAACGACAATATATTTCCAAGTTAGGATGGTGAATGGCTTGGAGGGTAAAGTGCATGTGGTAGCATTCCCGTGTATCTGCTGCCTTTGTCCTTCTAGATAGCAGTGGTGGTGAGTTTGGCAAGTACTGTCTAAGAAGCCTTAGGGAATTTCTGCAGTGCATTTTATGGATGGTACAATCTACTGCTACCAAGTGTCAGTGGTGGAATATTTGTGGATGTGGTGCTATCAATCAGCATAGCTTTGTCCTGGATGGTGTCAAAGTCTTGAATGGGGTTCGAATTGCACACATCCAGGTGAGCATTCTATCACATTTCTGACTTGTGCCTTGTAGATGGTGCATAGAGGCATTAGGAAGTCAGAAGGTGAGTTACTTGCTGCAAGATTCCTAGCTTCTGACCTGCTACTGTAGTCAGTGTATAGATGTGTGAGAATTGGTTGTGTTTGGCAAAGTTGTCTTTCATAATTGGGCATTTGATGAACTCACTGTTTTGACTTCCGTAGAATGACAACTTTCACAAGACTCTGGGATATTGCTGGCATGAGTCAGTGCCTTTGTAAGAGCAAGAAGAAAGGGAATTCCTGAACACTTGCTGCCTTGCAGAGAAACTAAAATGGATGACAGGACATTACTTTGCAAAATTGAAAGAACCTGAGTTTATGTTGTGTTATTGTACTTTCAGCATGTTCCAAAGTGCTTTACAACCAATGCATTATTTGTTAAAGTTGCATGACTTGCTGTCTTTTCTTTCTGAAAATGATTCCCTACTTGGCAGAGGCACATGAGAGCTTAGAGTATCAGCTTCATAGAACAGGGCTGACTGTAATGATGTGATGTGGCCAGCTCAGAGCTATCACTCGCTGAATTTCTAACTCAGGCTCCATGTTCTGTCTCTAAGAAGATGAAGCAATTGTGAAGAACTCCAAATGGCCCAAACCAGAAATTTTCCCAGGCCTTCTCCTTCACTCAGGACATCATGTGATGCGTTACTCGTTACGCCACTTGAATTCTGATGTAATACACCATAAGTGACTAACTTGTGCTTGAAATGGGGAACTGATCTCAAGAAAAGCCAGGAAATTTGCCTGAATTATCTGCAAGTCCTGCTCAAGTGCAGCTTTGCGATCTCCTTTGTCAAAGCATATCACAGACAGGTTCCTTAAAAAAGCTGCATTTTTGAGTCAGTTTTTGTCTGTCTGGAATAGTTTTGTTGGTTAGATGAAAAGGAACTCTTCCTCTGCCCTTGAGGGCAGCACGGTGGCTCAGTGCTTAGCACTGCAGCCTCACAGCACCAGGGACCCGGGTTCGATTCCACCCTCAGGCGACTGTCTGTGTGGAGTTTGCACATTCTCCCTGTGTCTGTGTGGGTTTCCTCCGGGTGCTCCGGTTTCTTCCCACAGTCCAAAGATGTGCAGGTTAGGTGGATTGGCCATGTTAAATTGTCCATTGTGTTCATAGATGTTTAGGTTAGGGGGATGGGTCTGGGTGGGATATTCTAAGAGTCGGTGTGGACTTGTTGGGCCAAAGGGTCTGTTTTCACACTGTAGGGATTCTATGATCTTCTATGAACTCATGGCTTTATTTGGTGGATAGTGCCTGCTGCATGCAGATGCATGTGGGCAGCACGTTGGCTCAGTAGTTAGCAATGCTACCTCCCAGTGCCAGGGACCCAGGTTCCATTCCAGCCTTGGGTGACTGTCTGTGTGGAGTTTACACATTCTCCCTGTGTCTGCGTGTGTTTCCTCCCACAGTCCAAAGATGTGCAGGTTAGGTGGACTGGCCATGGTGTATGCAGGGTTACAGGGATTCGGGGTGGGAGGTGGTAGGGATACTCTTTGGATGGTCAGTGTGGACTCAATGGGCCAAATGGCCTGCTTCTACACTGTAGGGATTCTGAGTGGATGGGGGACAGAAGTGCATAGCAAACGTGCAGTCACCAATGGTTGATGGCAGTAGTGGGTGGTGGTAATAGTAGGGCAGCTCAGCAACAAAGTTACCCTGGATGGGCCATTGGAATGTGATCTGAGGGAGGGATGAGGATGTAAAGTGCGGGAAGGAGATGGTGTGACAAAGATGGCAATGGACAGGATGGAATGGCATGTGACTGAGATGGTATGGCAGGGTGGATGACGCAATATAATTGGCTAAGCTATTCTTTCACTCGAGTACCCAGGTCAAATTTCTATGCCTTAAGTTCTCATGTGCCTCTGCTAAGTAGGGATTTTCTTTTCTGAAGGTAAAGACTGCAAGGTCTGGCAAATTTATCAAATAATGCATTGGTTGTAAACCACATCGGAACATGCTGAAGATGCGAAAACACAACATAAACTCCACCTAGCAAAGTAATGTCTTTCATAGAATTCAAACAGTGTGGAAACAGGCTATTCAGCCCAAAATGTCCACACCGCCCCTCCAAAAAGCATCCCTCCCCGACGCATTCCCCTACTGCTGCATTTCCCCATGTTTAACCCACTTAACCTAAACATCCCTGGACACTACGGGCAATTTAACATGGCCAATCTACCTACCCTGCATATCTTTGAACTATGGGAGGAAACCAGAGCACCCAGAGGAAACCCACGCAGACACAGGGAGAATGTGCAAACTCCACACAGACGGTCGCCCAAGGGTGGAATCAAACCCAGGTCCCTGGTGCTGTGAGGTAGCAGTGCTAACCACTGAGCCACCGTGCCACCCCATTTTCCAGTTTCTTGTCACCCATTTTCCAGTTTCTTGTCACCCATTTTCCAGTTTCTTTGCAAGCCTTCCTACTCTTACAAGGGCACTGAGTCTTCCCAACAATACCCAAAATGAAGATTCAATAGATTTAAATGATTCTCCAGATAAGTCTCCAACAGCAGGCATGCCATTGTAAATCAGACACTCAAAAAAAGGGCATGTATGTTTTGGATGCAACTTGAAACCTAAAAACGAACTCTATAATGGAACAAGATTTGTAGTTAGGAAGGGATAGTAGGAACTGCCGAGGCTGGAGAATCTGAGATAACAAGGTGTAGAGCTGGATGAACGCAGCAGACCAAGTAGCATCAGAGGAGCAGGAAAGCTGACGTTTCGGGTTGAGACCGTTCTTCAGAAATGGGGGAGGGGAAGGGGATTCTGAAATAAATAGGGAGAGAGGGGGAGGCGGATAGAAGATGGATAAAGGAGAAGATAGGTGGAGAGGAGACAGACAGGTCAAAGAGGCGGGGTTGGAGCCAGTAAAGGTGAATGTAGGTGGGGAGATAGGGAGGGGATAGGTCGGTCCAGGGAGGATGGACAGGTCAAGGAGGCGGGATGAGGTTAGTGGGTAGGAGATGGGGGTGGGGATTGAGGTGCGAGAAATGGTTAGGGAGGAGGGGACGAGCTGGGCTGGTTTTGGGATGCGGTAGGGGAAGGGGAGATTTTGAAGCTTGTGAAGTCCACATTGATACCATTGGGTTGCAGGATTCCCAAGTGAAATATGAGATGCTGTTCCTGCAGCCTTCGGGTGGCATCATTGTGGCAATGCAGGAGGCCCAGGATGGACATGTCGTCCAAGGAGTGGGAGGGGGAGTTGAAATGGTTCGGGACTGGGAGGTGCAGTTGTTTGTTGTGAACCGAGCATAGGTGTTCCATAAAGCGGTCCCCAAGTCTCCGCTTGGTTTCCCCGATGTAGAGGCGGCCACAACGGGAACAGCAGATACAGTATACCACATTAGCAGATGTGCAGGTGAACATCCGTTTGATGTGGAAGGTCTTCTTAGGGCCTGGGATGGGGGTGAGGGGCGAGGTGTAGGGGCAGGTGTAGCACTTGCTGCGGTTGCAGGGAAAAGTGCCGGGGGTGGTGGGGCTGGAGGTGAGTATGGACAAGGGAGTCACAGAGAGAGTGGTCCATCTGGAAAGCAGATAAGGGTGGGGAGGGTAAAGTGTCCTTGGTAGTGGGGTCAGATTGCAGATGGCGGAAGTGTCGGAGGATGATGCGTTGGATTCGGAGGTTGGTGGGGTGGTACGTGAAGACAAGGGGGATTCTGTTTTGGTTGTTATTGCGGGGAGGGGGTGTGAGGGATGAGTTGCGGGAAATGTGAGAGACACGGTTGAGGGTGTTTTCGACCACTGTGGAGGGGAAGTTGCAGTCCTTGAAAAACGAGGACATCTGGGATGTCCGGGAGTGGAATGCCTCATCTCGGGAACAGATGCAGCGGAGGCGAAGGAATTGGGCATAGGGGATGGCCTTTTTGCAGGAAGGTGGGTGAGAGGAGGTGTATTCTAGGTAGCTGTGGGAGGCGGTAGGCTTGAAATGGATATCGGTTTCCAGGGGGATGCCAGAGATGGAGACAGAGAGGTCCAGGAAGGAGAGAGAGGTATCAGAGATCATCCAGGTGAACTTAAGGTTGGGGTGGAAGGTGTTAGTGAAGTGGATGAACTGTTCAAGCTCCTTGTGGGAGCACGAGGCGGCACCGATGCAGTCATCGATGTAACGGAGGAAGAGGTGGGGGATAGGGCCAGTGTAGCTTTGGAAGAGGGATTGTTCCACGTATCCTACAAAGAGACAGGCATAGCTTGGGCCCATGTGGGTACCCATGGCCGCCCCCTTTGTCTGTAGGAAGTAGGAGGAATTGAAGGAGAAGTTGCTAAGGGTGAGGACGAGTTCAGCTAAGCGGATGAGGGTGTCAGTGGAGGGGGACTGGTCGGGCCTGCGGGACAGGAAGAAGCGGAGAGCCTTTAGGAAGTTAGGAAGCCTTTTTCATTGAAGAAAAATGCTGAAATTACAGCAAAAGGAAACAGTATTTATTCCCCAAATAATATTGAGGGCAGGTATAAACCTTTTCAACACACAAGAAAACAGTTCCCAATTCAATGATAATGTTCTATAAAGTCACAAGGTCAGACTTTTGACAAAGTATGTAATTAATTTCTAAGGACTGTTTGAACAGCCTCATGTAACTTCTTTCCTGCGTGAGAAACTTTGGTTCTGATAAAGTCTTTGCTGAAATAATGACTGAAATTCCTGTATTTAAAGAAGTTCTGTTGCAATAAGGAAACAAATTTGACCGCAAATGCTTTGCGGGTCTCTGCTGGTAAAATTATATTTATTAAACCATGACGCTGTAATGGTTTAATTTCTGTCATACCAATACACATATTTAGTGAAGAACTTTTTTGTGCAGTGTAGTTCCCCCAAGTGTATTGTTCTTAAAGAAAGGCTTTTTCTCAACTTTCTCATCTGAATTGACAGCTGTGAGATGTAGTCTCCCATCCTGTCTAGTATTAAAAGGAATAAGACTGTGTGTGTGTGTGTGTGTGTGTGTGTGTGTGTGTGTGTGTGTGTTGTGAATGTGTTATACTACTTCACTATGTCTCTTGAGAAATGAATCATGGCCATTCACGTGAATTACTTTTTTAAAATTTAGAATGCAGTCACTTATTGTGTAGGCAAATACAGTTGCCAATTTGAACACAGTAACACACCCAAGCAGCAAACAGTTCTTTGGTGACAGTGGGTTGTAAGAAACATAATAAATAGGACCAGGCTATCTGACCAGCATGCTCAGCCATTTAACAAGATTGTGGATGAACTGCTACCTGAACTAACTGGGTATCAAAGGAACTTCAACACTGCTCCAAAATTGGGAAAATCTCATTTAACATCCCTTGTGAAAGGCAGCATCTTGATTTCTTTACTCAGACCCTTGAATGTGTCTTGACTGAACAAGGTATTGCTACCAACAGAGAAAAATCTGGCTTCGGTCAAGGAGTAGGACTAAGAGAGCTTCACTGATGATAGAGGGCTTGAAAAGGACATGCTCCACAAGTTCAGGAGAGGGCATTAAAGGCTTGGTTTCTGGAATTATTTTAAAAGATTCTTTTCAAAGAAATGAAATATTCCTGTCCAATAGTAGCAACCAGCTGGAGGAAGATTGGGACTGTGTGCAATTGTGGTGTATAGTGGGCAATTTAAGTTAAGGTTGGAAGAGGGTACAGGTATGTTTATCAGAATGCTACTAGAAGTGAGGGGCTTCAGTTATGTGGAGAGGATAGTCAGGGATAGTCTGCCTAGGGCAGAGAAGGAATCCGACTGGATTGATTTTGAAATTCTGAAGGGTTACTATACTCATTGACAAGTGAATGGAAAACCATCAGTTATAGATTTAAATATATTGACCAAAGAACTGGAAAGAAACTGAAAAGAAATATTTCATATTGAGGACTGTTATATCTGGAGTGAGCTTTCTGAAAGGGTGCTGGAATCAGATTTTCACTGAAACTTACAAAAAGCACCTTGATGAGTATGAATTTACATGATAATGGAGACAAATTTGAGAGTAGAACAAAATTGGATACATCTTCAAAGAGACAGTGCAGTTGTGAATGGCTCTCTTCTGTGCTGTATAGTTCTATGATTGTAGTGGTTTGGTAGCACAGAACTTGATTACTGCTGAAAAAAGCAGACGCACTACTGAAACTTTTTGTCTTAGACTCATCAGCACAGACTCAAGAATACCAAGCCTCAAACGAAACAACAATTTGTACTGCATGAGGAAAGACTGTAGACTGGTTGGAAAGAAGGCCCAGGTTGGTCAGGAAATTACCATGGTGAATGCATAAGGGAGCCAATGTCCACCAGGCTTTAGTGTCAGTGCGATGCCAGGAACATAGGCCGTATATCCCAATGACTGGCGGATCAAATAACATGTCCCTTCGGCTGTTGCAATAGGCACCACATTGATAATACTCAGCCAACGCATACTTGCAAAACTTGAACACAATGTTAGATGTGATTCTGTCTTTGGACAGCAGTTATTGAACAATTCCAAGTAGCTAAGGGTTAAGCTAACAATCAATTAAAGATTACTAGTCGGGGTTGCCATATAACACCATTGATGCCTGCTAGAAGTGACACATTTTAATATCCTGCAACCAGTCCTTTACAGGGAAAAGCAATATGTATTGTGCCTTTTCAAATTAAACAAAGGCTTTGGAGACAATAGTGCCCTGGTGCATTTTCTGTGGCAACACATTGATCAGTCAGGGCCTACCTGTAACCAACACGCTTTTCGTATGTACAAGCTGTTTAGCTGCTCCCTTTAAAATTTTTGATTCTGTGAACAGAAAGTAAAGCTGATTGTCATGGGGAACTTCCATGGAGAAACTCCACTGACTTCTTCCACTTTAGCTTGAATCCTGGTTATGTCTAAAAAGGCTTCCAGCCAATCTTCTGCCAGAGTTAGTGATCGACTAGAATCCACTCCCTGAAGAACTAGAGATGCTTGTACCTTTGTACATCAGAGATCTCAATGAGAAGTTGCTTATAGTAATAGATGTGATGCAAAACTTTGCCCTTCCTTCCAAGTAGAGATTTTGGATCCATAATATGTTGCTAAGAAACAAGTTCTATAGTAGTGCAGACATATTCTGAGTTTCTATTAAATATCAGTAAGATGGGGTAAGGGCTTGGTCCTTCAATTGTTCAACTTCTCTGCAGTTCACAGAAACGCAGCCTGTAATGAGAACAAGTATGTTTAGAAATTTAAAAATCAGTTCCAGCAAAAGATCATATACATCATTACCTCTAGCTATACCTGACTTTTCTCATATTTTGACAGTTTCAGGAGTCAAATTCAAGGCATAGTTTTAAATAACCCCCCTTTTCAGATGCTCCTCTGCCATTCTAAATGCACTGTGTACCACTCAATAATAACTCACTTGTGTGGCTCCAGTGATGATCTTCTTGGGGGGAAATGGTGGTGTAAAGGTAGTGCTATTGGTAACTGGTGGAATTTGAATTCAATTAATAAATCAAGAATTGAAAGCTCGGCTCAGTAATAGTGGCCACGACAACCACCACCAATTGTTGCAAAAAAAAACTGTGGTTTATGAGTGCTCTTTAGGTAAAGATCCTTACACAGTCAGGCCTACATGTGACTCCAGACCTATAGCAATGTTGTTGAATCGTAACTGCTGTCTGAGATGGCCTAGCAAGCCACTCAGTTCAAGAGCAATTAGGGATGTGCAACAAATGCTGGCCTCATTGTGACACACAAGTCCCATAAAAGAATAATTTACAAAATGCAAGGAAACCTTTCATGATGCTTCAGAGGAGTTCAATCCAATAAAAACTGGCACTGAACTACATAAGAACAGGTGACCAAAAGACAAATGAATGAGATACATTTTAAGCAGTATTGAAAAAGGAGAGAGGTGGTGAGGTTTAGGAAGGGAATTCCAGAGCTTAGCACATGGGCAGCTGAAGACATGGTCATTGTCAGATTCCAGGGTGATGTACTCAGGATTCCAAGTTTCAGGTCTAGTATGAATGAACAAGCCGATTCTCAACTTGCAGATCTTTGAGGACATGGGGTAGAACTTTCCACAAGTTGTGGGATCAGAGTGCAGGATTTGTTTCTTTTTCCTTCCTTCTCTCCTAGCATCCTGCCTCCAAATTAAGACCCTATAACTCAAAGCATAGAGCAGCCTGCTGTTGCCTTTTCTGAGCAATTGGTAGTAAGCTCCTCCCATCTATCATTGACACTGTTGCTCTGCTTCAAGGGGAGCAACATTTACCATCCCCTTCTCTGGAAAGTTGGTCACTTGATAGTTTAAAAGAAATAGATATGAGCACGGTGTTCAGTTCATCAAAGTTAATTTTGCAGAATGTTTGCACACCAGAGGATCAGGCATATGGTCTCAGTCCCAGTTGGTGTTAGTTGATAGGATATGCTGTCCAGATGCACTCTCAAACTCAATCCCCACAGACCCTTCATGCTTGATTTGAGATGAAGTTGACAATCCTCCAGAATTGTTCTCGAGTCTCCAGGAATTAAAGACTAACTTTTTGGACAATGCTATGAGCAGCATCCAGGAGTAAAATCAAAAGGGACACTAAGTGAATTATACATTGTTTTACTATTGTTTTACCATAATTTTCCAGGCCCTTTTGACTCTGAAGAAGAGTTATATCATATTCAAAATGTTGACTGTTTCTCTCACCCCAGATGCTGCCAGACCTGCTGAGTTTCTCCAGCATCTGGTTTTATTTCTGATCTCCAGCATCCATAGCACTTCGATTTTATTACAACTGGTTTTAATGTTCTTTGAAGGCTTTGGCTTGTTCAGTACAGTAAAATCACACTCAATAGAATTGCACAGGGCTTGTTCAAAAATTTGTGTTAAGGAGAGAATCCAAAGACACCCCTAAGCAACCTGATTCTGCCTACAAATGTGCTCAATGTCAAAAGAAAAACAATTGAAAAACATGGTGACTCCATAAATATGCTAAATACGTCTGCATTTTTCGATTTGTTCATATCTTATAATGGCTGGATCTTGAATAATAATTGGCATTGAAGGAAGTTAGGAGTTATCTCCAGAAAATCTCAGTCATCTTTTTCCATTTAGTATTTTGCTGTTGGACATGGGCGATACAGTCCAGACCGTTGTTAATGCAATCAAAATTTTTTCTGCGTTTTTGTGTTAAAATCCAAAATCTTGAATCACCTCTATGACCTTCACAGCTTCAGCTAGGTGTGTGAGTGAGAGAGCATTCATCAGATTCTTTAAGATCTTCAGCCTTCTCAAATGAAAACTGTATTGCATCAGCAATTGCACAATGGAACTGTCAGGTGTGGCAGAGTATGGCATCATCCAAGCTGAGTAAGTTAGTTTCCATGGTTGTCACTGCTGGAATTTCTACGCTGGTCTCGTGTGGGGAACCAAAAAGAACCTCATTATTGGATGACTGGTTATTCCTCATCCTCAACATCTTGTAAATCTGTAGCTTTTTGAACTCAGCGCGGTGGAAGCTGTTAGCATTTGTGGCTTCTGTCACCATCTACCATGTCTTGTTCATTATAAACATGGACTATTAAAATAGATGAGTTGTACTCTTGCCTCTTGATAATCTGAGATCATCTGCCCATTGGTAATCAGCTTTTAGATTTCTAATCAGCACCAGATCTACTAGCTGAAGTTTGGCCATAATACTGTGAGGCAGAAATGTTAGCTTGACACTCGAGGCCAACAATGCTAGGTGTTTGCACCAGGCTGAGCCTGTAATGGTGATAATGTTCCTTTTCTTCCGTTGAGACATTCTGTCCATTTCATCCAGGCAGTTTTTTGCCAGCTATGTACCGTGTGGTTAGTATTTTGACACTCACAAAGTAACATCTTGGCCAAAGGCCTTTTCGACCTTCCTAGCACATGAGGCAGCAGCTTTTCAGTGCTGTCCATGATGCCACAGCAGTGAGACATTCCTTGCTTTGCTTTCTACTGTTTGTTTCATCTTTCAACATTCAAGAATGATCTGGTAAAAGATGGTGAAGCGGTCTGGTTTCTTGTCTCTTGGTGAAAACTGATTCAGGACATGGGGAAGATCATGTCGCAGTCAACAGGCTGCCGCTGCTGTCCAATCTGCCACACCTTCACTGCTTTCCATTTAGAGGGTGATGCCAGGCCTTGTCTTGAATTGCTTCAGCCATCCATTGCTGCAAGTGGACATCTTGTGGCCCAGCCTCTTCCCCAAGGTGATTCCCCTTTCCTGCAGAGTTGGACTTGGATCAGCTTGAAGTGCAGCTACTCTGAGGCTGGGGAAGGCAGCCATTCTCACCCTCTTCCTTGCTGGAGAGAATGCCAGCTTGTTAAACTGTTCCAAGATGCCTGCCTTGTGTTTCGAAATGATTGACAAACTTGACTGTGAAATCTCCCAACCCATTATGAAGCCTTTGTTTCACACCATTGGTTTCTATTTGCTGTATCAATGTTACCTTGTTTTGAATTGACATCATTCTTAACTTGCTAGATAACAAGGTGTACAGCTGGATGAACACAGCAGGCCAAGCAGCATCAGATGAGCAGGAAAGCTGACTTTTCGGGCCTAGACCCTTCTTCGGAAATGGGGGAGGGGAAAGGGGTTCTGAAATAAATAGGGAGAGAGGGGGAGGCGGATAGAAGATGGATAAAGGAGAAGATAGGTGGAGAGGTGCAGTGGGAGAGAGATCCACTGAGGTCTTTCCGGAGGGAGGAGGGTAACTTCTTCAAGGTAGGCATCCTTAGAAGAGGCTTTGCAGTGGGGTTAAAATTGTTTCAGAGATAGTAGGAACT